TGGCTGGCCTGCAGGCCCACCCAGACAAGACAACACGGGCGCACAGGACAGCGGCTGGCCTGCAGGCCTACCCAGCACACACCGGCTATTCTTCTTGCTCATCCATTACCTCTGGTGGCCAACACGGCTGGGGGCTCAGTAGTTAGTCCTTATTGAATGATGAATGAATGCCTCGGAAGCTCAGAAATGTTAAGGAACCTGCTGAGGGTCACACAGCTACTGTGGAGCAGAGCCAGGATCTGAACCCAACTCTGCCCCTGAAGCCAGTGTCTCACCACATGTCGTCTACTCACTACGGCGTGGCTGATCCTGCACCGGCCGCTCCTCACCCCCAGCCTCTGCAACTTCCCTGGGAGAAATGCTGAGCGTTTGGCTGGGGTCTGAGCCGGGCAGGCAGTGCTGGCACACCCTGGGATGATGGGCCAGAGCCCTTTGTCTCCTGCCTTCCTGCCAGTCTTCTGCTCAGCCCAGAGCCCCTCCAAGTCACAGCCAGAGTGTCTTTACCCAATCACCTTGCAGTCCCTTGCTCTCCTTGGCCCCCATCTGCCGGCTAGACCTTGTGCATATTCTGGGCAATCCAATTCCTTCAATTCTTATCTTTTCTAACTATCTTCCTAAACGCTAAGCCCTCTTTCTCATAAGGAGAGGGGAATGACAATCAGGAAGACAGGCTCCATGTAACTAAACGCACAAACTGTGGGAGGGATACGCACCTCCCAGCTGTGTCGGGGACCTGGAGCCCCAGCAGTATCACACCCTCTGGAGTGCATGATGCTCAGTAACAACAACTAACATATTTCTAACCAGCGATCCTGTTCCAAGCAAAGAGCCCAGTCCTTCAGAATCCCTGAATCATTTCATTTGTAAGGAAGGGTATTTTGAGTGCTACTTTCTGAAAAAGTAAATCAACGCTTACTAAGGGTGAGCAAGTCAACCTCATCACATTGCTAGAACAGGAATTAGAGCGGAGGGCTGTCGGACACTGAAACGATTCTCCCCTTGATCTTAGCCGAAAGGCTGAGAAGTGATACTGAAACTACTCTCTTGTTTTAACTCCGATTTTTTTTTAAGAGTTAAATGTGTATTGAGGTCCAGGTGCTGCACAAAATGTGAGTGAAACAGCAGTGAGCAGAACAAAACCTCTGCTCGCAGAAAGCTAGTATTCTGGTGGGAGACAGACAGTAAACAAATAACCACGTGAAATGGCTCCATCGCAGGCACATCAGGTGCTGCAAAGTGGGAAAGAATAAAGCAGAGCAGCGGGCAGGGGTGAGATTCGAGCAGAGAGCTGGCAGAATGGAGGGTTGCCCAGATGGAGGAGAGAGACATGCAGAGGGCTTGAGGCAGGAGGGCGCTGGGGGAGTTTTTCAAAAAACTCATTTTGTACAATGCCTAGACCTCATTACACACTTAACTCCTCAAAGAAAAAAATCAGAGTTAAAACGAGAGGATGGTCTCAGTGTCAGCATCTCTCATCGTGGCCGGAACAGAGTAACCCAGGGACACACCATGGGAGTTCAGGTCAGAACGTAGTGGGGGGCCTGGGTTATGTAGGTATTGCAGGAATTTTTGTCATTAACCCTAAATGAGATGAAGAATGGGTTTCAGCAGAGAAGTGAGGTAATCAAAGTGTGCTTTGGAAGGCATTTCTCTGGCCGCTGTCTACAGTAGATGGCAAAAGGCAGGGAGGGCAGGAGCAGGGAGCCCAGGCAGGAGCAGGGAGCCCAGGCAGGACAGTGTTGCAGTCACCGAGGGAAGAGAGGCTCTGGCTTGGACCTGGCTGGTGGTGTTTAGGCACCTGGGAGTGGTACATGGGATGGGAAGGTGGAGACAGCAGGGCCTCACCATGAATTGGCTGTGCAGCGTGAGAAGAGCATGACTCCTGAAGGGTAAGAGCTGCGTGTTTGGGAGGAGGGCTGCTACCAGCTGAGCTGGGAAGAAACAGGCAGAGCCAGAGTTTGCAGGAAGATCAGGAGCGCGTCCTGCGCGTGTGATGTCAGAGATCCCTTCTGCACATCCGAGCAGTGATGCTGAATGAGCAGTGGGATCTGGAGGGAGCTGTGGCTGCAGGTGTCAGCATGACAGTCCTTGGCAGTGGACGCACAGAGGGCAGAGACCACAGGAGGGGTGACCTGGGAGCAGGCCGAGGACGCAGCATTGAAGCTGGAGAGGGGAGGAGGCACCCCGGGAGCCAGAGGAAGAGCCCATGGGAAGTGAACTGGAAGCCCCAACAGCTGTCTGTAAGAGCCAGCTCCTCTCCACCTTTCTCCTACATCATGAAAAGTGCTTCTGTTCCGGGCATCAGCGCAGGGCTCCTGAGAGCCTTGGGTAGAGGGTGGCCATTGGGAGGTGAGAAAGGACAGGCTTGTGTAGCACCCCCCCAATGCCTTCTTATCTCCTTTCTTCACTAGTTGATTCTCTCATTCATTCGTTTACTTACAACAAGCGTTTGATGAGAACCAAGTGTAGAAGGACCGAGCTTGGACCTGAGTTATGTGTGGTTTTTCTTGGGCACCCCATATGATTAGACTCATTTCATGGGCAGGGAATGTGAGAGGAAAGAACTTGTCCCAGGTCACATGAATAGAAACCCAGACCCAGTTTTCTTTTGCTCACAGCCTGTAATCTTTGCCCTCGCTGTGGTTTCTCTCTTGTTCACTCGGCCAGGAATTAGGGAGGGTCTGCTGTGGTGTCCATGCGCTGAGGGCCGGGCTACAGTGGCAGAAGATAGATTTCATCTCGCTGTGTTACCTACCTCACAGGAATTCCCCTTGGGTAACCCACCTCAAACTCCACAGGTCACTCTCAGTCTTCTTCTAGAACTTTCTTCCCCCTCCTCTGTCTTGACCCTTCATTTGGAGAGAGCCTGATGCTGAGTACTTTTCTTGAGTGTCATTGCATGAAATAGTTTAGAGTGAGACATTTTCAGATCAGCTTTGCACATGAGATGTTACGAAACCAACACCTTGGAGGATGCTTGGCCTCTTACTTAAAAGTTCTCAGTCCCCAACTCTTTGGTAACACTTGGGTGAATCTGCCAAGAACAATTTAGGAGGGAGGCTGGGGAAGGAGGCCAGGTGAGATACTCAGGATTCCAGTGATTCAAGTCAGCACTGGCATGACTGTGAGCTACCCCACAGAGCCAGGGTGCCAGAGGGGAGAGGCCCGCTCTCTGCTGAGATGTGTTGTTACAGGGGAATAATGATGTTTCCACTGCTCAGTAGCTTTAGGGGATGCAGACACGCCCAGCCTCGGCACTTCTTACCTCCCTAAGCATTCTCGGCTCTTGTTCCCAAGGGGGGGCCTATCTTGAAGACCACACACGTGCACCCCACCCCCACATCAACTCAGAAAAAACAGGATGGGGGAGAGAGAGAGAGAGACAGAGAGCTCTTGCCTCCTCTACTTCATATCCAGAAAGTTCTTGGAGAGAAAATATGTTGCCCCAACTTGGCTAGAGGTCAATGTGAAGGCTGTGGTTTCTTCCTCTCTCTCTTTATCTTTCTTTCTTTTTACTGTTCCTAAACGTCCCCTCAGGATGTGACTACTATGGTGAAAGGTCAATGGAATTAACTGTGACCTCAGGACATTTTCTCTGCTGTTCCCTGTCTGGAATATCCTTACCTGTGGAGGTCACCCAGCTGAATCCTTCAGGCTCAAAAGTGACCTCTGCGGAGGAGTGTTCCCTGATGAATCCTCCCCACCTCATCACCTCTGTCACTTACTCCCTTCCTCTGTTTTACTCTCCCTCTCTGTGTATCATTTTGAGATTTTGATCAGTTTCCCCACTGGTCCATGAGGGCAGAGCATCCCCTTCTTCTGTGTCCTCTACTGTATCTCCAGCACCTAGAACCTGGCCCGATGGACGCCTGCATTCCACAAATTATATGTGGAGCGAGTGAGTGAGTGAGTGAGTGAATGAATGCGTAACCATGAGAAAAGCTTAGCACACAGCCTGGCACACAAGGAGTGAAAGGTGAGTGTCAGTTTGATGGCGTGAGGATGACATACCAATATCACCCTGAGGCTGTGACCTTGTGGGTTAGCCTCTGACAACCCTCGGCGTATGTCCAGTGGGGTGATGAGTGTAAAAGGCTGTCCTTCCACTGTCAATCATACCTTCCTGCCACCCACAGACATGCTAAAGAACAGTGCCCTAACCAGTTCAGCTCCTCACTTTTTCCTGTTTGTGGAATTGTGACAAGGCAACAGGGACAGTTCAAACTCTCTCCCCAGCTCTTGAGCTGAAGCACTTTCAGGACTTCATACTAACATATAAATGACTAACCACAGCCTCACATCCCCTCCCATGCCAGCCACCTGACCTCTCCCACAAGCTGGACCCTTCCCAACTGTTCACTTTTGGTCACACTGCCAGACACCTAAAGTGCCCCCACTTCACCCCCTTTCATCCCTAAAGATGCTTTCACCAAAGCCCAGCTTCAGCGTTGCCTCCTCTGTGAAACTCAACTGCTGAACTTCCAGCAGTTTCTTCCTATTCTCACTGGATTTCCATGCAGCTTTCCCACCTTCCATGACACCTGGTCACAGAGCATCATGCTGCCCAGGCCTGTCCCCTCACCCAGAGATGGGCTCTGCAGGGGTAAGGTCCAGCGCATGGCGGGTGGGAATCGCAGCTCTGCCTTGAGTCAGTACAGAGCACTCCTAGAGCCTGTAGGCTCTGCCACCAGAGCCCCTGGGTTCCGATCCTGCCTCCCCTCTCACCATCTGAGTCTCAGACAAGGGATTTAGTCACAGGAGGTGCCAGTTGTCCTGTTTGAAAATGGGGATCTAATTATTACATTGGGCACCATGGGCCAGTGGGAAAAAGTATAAAGAGGGAATCTGGAATGGGTGCACTGGGGATGATTTGGACTAGATGGAGAGCCAGAGGTTGTTCCTTGGATATTTTACCCTCTGATATACGGAGGCCTGTTTGTTATGAACCAGGAGTTCATTCAGAACCAGAGGTAGAGAAAGCAGACAACGGGTGACTGCACTTTTGAAAACACCCAGAGCTTTATTAGCTTTGTCCCCTTCCACGGGAACCATCTCTCTGGCTCCATCAACTCAAAGACAGGCCTGCGCTTCTACACACACCGTGCTGAGCAGCCCCGTGCCAACGTGCAGTGGGCCGAGGGGCCTCCGAAAATCACATCCGAGAAAGTGAACAGACAGCAAATTCCAAAAAAACAAAACAAACATTACAAAATATGTTTAAATATTCCGCTACCCTCTCACAGTAGAAAAGTTCATATCTCACGGGCAACGTGGAGAGCTTTACAGCAGACAGGGGCTTAGGACTTGATGTCAGCACGACGTGCTCTGTATCATCTTGAGGAAGAACGTGCAGATGGAGCTCCAGGACTCCCCGCAGAACTCCAGGGCATTCCTCCTCTGTTGCGCCACATCCGGGTCCTCGAAACACTCCACAGCATTGTTGGCCGTGCGCTGGGTTGGTCCTGGTCTGGAGGTGGTGTCCTCCTTGACCTTGGGGCGCTCCCTGAGAGACAGCTCTGTTTTCTCCTTCCTGGGCTTCACGTTCCCAAGCAGACTGGAGCTCACCAGCTTGAGATTGGATTCTGGAAATGTCTTTCTGCATACCTTGGTCTTTAGAACGGTCTTGGATTGTCCACAAATGTCCTTCTGGGAGCGCAGATTCCGGCTAACTTGTTTCCAATAGACCCTCCCTTGCTGGAACTTCAGACACGAGGCTGGATTGCCAGCAAAGACACAGGAGAACTCACGGTCCATTTGGGTGCACTGGACCTTGAGGGTGATGCCCTCCTCCTGTTCAGTCACAGCCCATCTACAGTTGGCTTGGTCTTTGGTGACAAACTTGCCTTTGGACCTGGCTGTCCTGCTTCTCTGCTTATTCTGGGCATTGCCCAGAGTGTCCTTTTGCTCTGAGACGACTTTGCTGTGATGTTCATTCTTTCCTCTTCTTTTCCCCTCTGCTGAGAGCACCTGAGCGCCCAGGAGGAAGAAGGAGAGCAGGATGAGGCTGTGGATCCTCATGGCTGCAGCTAGGCGGTGCCTGTTTGACAAAAGGCAGGTGAGTCAGCTCTGGGCAGCAGCTCAGCTCTGCAGGACTGCAGGCTGCCTCCCTCCACCCTGACACACGCCTGCCTGCTCAAGGGCAGACCAAGAATCCTTCTGGTTCCTGAAATCACTAGACGAGCAGCCTGTCTACTCACATTTCCACTTGACTTGAGTCCTGAGTGTCAACAAGTTACCGCCTGACCCTTTCCTGAACCACTCCCTGAACCTCCCCAACTATCACTCCTTGTCCACTCCCTCCCTCCCTCCCTCCCTCTTCCATCCGCTCACTCCTCGCTCTTTCATTCAACAAGCATTTATTGAGCACCTATTACACGCCACACACTGGACCAGGTATTGGACTACCACCAGGAAAGGGCAGCCACAGTTTTAAAGAGCTAGGAGAGTGCTTTCTGGGGGGATTTAAATAGCATGGGCCAGGAAGTATGTTCCATCTCTGTCCTCAACTCCATCTTGGACAAGTCACTGGGGCCTCAGGTCCTTTACCTGGGAATCAAAGAGTTAAATGAAAGCATCACATAACTGTCTTCCAGCTCCCCTGTGCTGGGTTTCTATCTCACAATTCTACAAAGACACAGATGACTGTGAAAGTGTTGTGAAAGTGTCATGAACTTGAAGTTGACACAGAGGTTGAACATTGATGGGGGTTGACCCACAGAGGCGGGTGGGGCTGTAGGGTGGAGAGAGCATTCTGGGAGGAAACAGGTGCGAGGGTAGGGAGGTCTTCTGACTTGGCTGGGCAAAGGGAACCAGGGTGGAGACAGGGGAATTTCAACCAGCTGCTTTACACTACAAGACTGAAGACAAAGATCAAGTGTAATTGATTTCTGGAGGCCCGTGATAGCACACTACCGGGCACACAGAAAGCCCTTAATTAATGCTCTCATAAAGAAATCATGGAATAAGCAGGATAAACCTCAATCCCACACTGAACTACATGGTTTTTACCAGGTAGACAATAAAAGCCATGCTTTCAGGGAGAAGGGAAATCCACTTCCATCTGACGTCTACTAAGCCTGGTCCAAGGTTTGATTCTCGCCTTGTTAAATCCACAGGAGAGCACTGCCAGACAGCCATGAATATGGCACCACAGGTAACATCTGTGATGTAAAGGCTCTGGCTGATAAGTGAATCGCTCAAGGTCCCATAGTGGGCAAGTCACAGGGGTGGTGCAGGCAGCCAGCCAGACCCCGTCTCTCTGAGTCTGTCACCTCTAATTGGTCACTTTTTACCTCTTACGTCTACTATGCCCTTTGGAAAATGTTGGGAAGCGGTAATAAAAACAACTGTAAATGCTGCTGGTTTAGTTTAATGCCGTTGATGATGATGATAAGATGATTCATGCTCCATTTAAACTAAAATAAACTTTTGTATGAAAAAAGGTAGACCCAGGAAGTGGTCCTGATCTTATTTCCACCCTGGGCATTGGAAAAGGGCAAGGCACGAGAGTGTGGGCTGGAGCAAGAAAGGGCGGGATGGGGGCCAGGTACACCAGGAGGAGACACAGCTACTTCCCCCAGCACCGGGGCTCTCTCCACCTGTCCATGATGGGGTCCAAGCCCAGGGAGGCCCAGGTCCACGGGTGGAGTGAGGAATGAGGGTGGAGGCAGGCAGTGAGGCTCTGAGCGAGCCAGGCTCTTACCTTGCACTGAGTACTCAGGTCCAGTGCGGTCCCAGATGTGAGGGTGAGGTGCAGGCTGCCGCTGTCTGGGTGCAGTGCCGTCCCCGGGAGCCACGCTGACTGGCTTGGGGCACATACCTGCCGAGCTTTATCCTCCAGCCACGCCCCACCGTGGGAGCCAGTTCCTGCAGGGCACGTGCCAGGAGGGACCGTGTGAAGGGGGTGGGACCGTGTGAAGGGGGCGGGACCCTGTGAAGGGGACGGGACCGTGTGAGGGGGTGGGACCGTGTGAAGGGGGCGGGACTGAGTGAAGGGGCGGGACCGTGTGAAGGGGGCGGGCCCCTGGAACTGCTGCCTTCCTGCGCTTCCCTTTACACCCATCCGCCAGGACAGGAGGACAGTCCAGCCTGGTGATGCCCTTGCTGAGGGGATGAGGACCCCAGCAGTGATATCGGGGGTTGGGGAGGAATAAAATAAAACCACCACAGAGATCGGAGCCTGCCTTCCCAGCTAGCACTCTCCGCAATTCCTTACCACTTCCATGCTATGGTGGGGCGTGAGGTGACCCTTCCCATGTTTACAGAGAAAGAAATTGGTTCTGGAGATACTCAGTGGCCTGTCCAAGTTCACAGCCCTAGGAAAAGGGGGATCTCGTGATAAAGGGGGATCTCGTGATTAAATGTGGGACCTTCTGCCTCCATGATCTAAGCTCTTCCTAACTCCCAGCGGAGGCAATAACTGTCTGGTGAATTAAAGCTACTGAGGCTACGTGGTGCTGAGACCCTGTTTGACGGAGCACTCTGAAGTTACTGCGTGGGCTCCAGAGCTGGTAGGGAAGGAATTCCTGATATAGAAATTTCTATTGAAAATATTCACTTTTTGGTCACTGTAGTCCACCCGCTGTAGGCCAAGTCTCATACCAGAAGAGCCTGGGTGGGTTCAGCTGTGAATCACGTCACCCCTCCCACCTTCCATTTGCTCACCCTCAGGGTGGTGACAGTAATGGTACCTCATTCAGGGCAATGCACCACATTTAGAGTAGGCTGAGCTGTTAAAGTGGAATAGAACAGTTTGGGTTCATAATATGGTCTTCAATTCTGTTCTTTACAAAAAATATTCTCTTTACCTATTAACTACATAGAAAGAGACTCACTTGCACAAAAAGGTGTAGACCTCAGTGGATATTTTCACTCTACTTTTCATGGAGATTTGGGTATAACTCAGGTATGAGAGAAACAGTAGTACGACTTGGACAATGCATGGCAAATGACCTTTGGCTTTAGGGCAGGTCAATAGGGAGTGGTGGGGACTGTGGCAAAGTGGAGTTCCTGCCTCTCTAGAAGTCAACATTCAGCTCCAATTGACTGAGGGCTTGGTTCTGGTTTTTAGTATTATCAAAGTTTCTGATTTTTAACAGGATGTCCTGAAAGCCAGATATGTTTACCTGAAATTGGCACCTCGTCTAAATTTTCTAGCAGTGTCATGATTCAACAATGCACAGGCCAAAGTTGTCTCTACGTTAGGATTTCCTGCACAGATCACCTGTTTGAGAAGCCCATGGGCATCATCCAGCCCACTCACACACATGGCCACTTCTGAAACCTCCTGTAGTAAAACTAGCTCAGCTGGGCCTGTGCTCACTGTCCTTTCAGCCACCCTACTGAAGCCCTGACCTACACTAGTTGCTCTTTGAAGGTGGTGTTGGGGGGATTATTTAAACACAGCCAAGATAATTCTGCTTCCTTCACTGAGAGAGGAATAAATCAGGATGGTCTCCTGGGAAAAGAGGGTCCTGCTTCATCCTCAGGGGGCAGCTTCTCCCCCCACCCGCCACCGCTCCCCACAGCCCCTCCCTGTAGTGGTTCATCCCTAGGCGCAGAGACATCAGAGCAGGCAGTTTCCACTCAGCTCATCCTGTCATGCCACACTCAGTTCTAGGGGCACACATGTGTGTGCGTGTGTGTACACACACACACACACTGCAGTCTGGCCACACGGAGACTCTTCCCATGCCATCCCAAACACTCTGTGCCATGCCTGCTTCCTGCCTTTGCCTCTGCTGTCCCCTTCCCTTGGATGTCCTCCCAGCCCCTGTCCCTGTCAAACCTATCTTCTCAAGACCATACTCAAATGCCAGCTCCTCCCCATTGGTGGCATTGGCCCCTGCCAATGGGCCCCTCCACTGGCCCACTGAATCCTCACAGTGTCTGTGGGAGATGTCCAGCTTCCCTCAGTGAGTTCACTGTGCCCTGCAGACCTAGCCTGGGCTGTTTCCCTGACACTTTTCAATCTCCATGTACTTAGAAAACAATACGCTCTTCCAGTGCCCTGGGACAGTGCAGAGGATGGGGAGCCACCACCAAAGCAGCTCAGAGCAGGTTCTGGTTCCACAGCCCACCTGACCACCTCCTCACGCCCCAGGACCAAGGACACCTGCAACTCCTGGAATTGGGATGTGCAAAGGCCCATTGGCTTTTATTTCACAAAACCCATGAGGAAGGGCTGCCCATGGGACAGATCAGGGGCAAGGGTCAGGGGGACCAAGCACAGTGCCCAAGATAATTAGAGAAGAATTACCTGAAGGCCATTCTATTTTAATCCAGAATGAACCAGTGTACTCATTCATTGATAAATTAGAAAATGTTTCCCTCTGACGGGCCTTCTTACCCTTCCTTTTTAATTGTCTTTTTAAAATTTTGGAATAGCTTTAAATTGACAGAAAATTGCAAAGACAGTTATTATTTCACATCTCACCTCGGCTCCCCTGTTAACCACTGGTATGGTCCATTTGTCACAACAGATTAATTATAGTCCAGACTTTATTCAGACTCTCTAAGGCAGGCGTCCTCAACTATGGCCCGCGGGCCACATGCGGCCCGCCAAGGACACTTATCTGGCGTGCCCGGTGTTTTTGCTGCTGCTGCCTGTCCTGCTTAGCCACTGCCTATCCTTTTAAACTATAGTCCGGCCCTCCAACGGTCTGAGGGACAGTGAACTGGCCCCCTGTTTAAAAAGTTTGAGGACCTCTGGTCTAAGGGTTCACCTGCTGTTCTGCTGTGCATTGTAACCAACCGACTTCACTGTCAGGATGACTGTGGGTTCACAGCACCACTGAGCAGAAAGTATCAAGCGTTCTCACACGTCCCTCCCCACCCAGCACAGCCCTCCTCACCTATCAACACCAGGACCCAGAGGGTACATTTGTCACAACCCATAAACCCATGTGGTGGCTTCACTGCCCGAGAAATGTCACGTGTGCTCCATGCAGCCCTCCCCCCACCAGGCTGTAGCAACCACTGATACTTTCACCGTCTCCATGGTTTCTAGAGGTCACGTAGTGGCAATCACGCAGGCCAGCTTCTTTCACATAGTAACATGAATCTAAGTCCCGTCTGTGTCTTTCATACCTTGATGGTGCATTTCTACTAATATAGTGTTGACCCAAATTCCATGGACTGAACGTGCCAGGGTCATTTATCCACAGACCTACGGATGGACCTTTTGCTTGTTGTCATGTTTTATCAATATTAATGAAGCTGCTGTAAACGTTCCCGTGTAGGTTTTCTATAGACTTAATATTTTCAGCTCCTACTGTCTCTTTTCTGTCCAGAATTCTCTTCGAGATGCCACACTGCATTTAATCATCACGGGGTCTTAGGTTTTTCTTGGCTGTGACGGTTTCAGCTGTTGCTTGGTTCTGATGACCTTGATGGTTTTCAGAGGACTGGCTAGGCACATGAAGGCTGTTCCTCATTTGTTCGGTGGTTTTTGGTTCTTGTTCTTCCCCCTAGCACAGAACTTAAATAATGAATGTGTGTTTTCTAGGCTTAACTGGTCACCACACACTTGTTAAGGCTGGTAACTCAGTGCATCTCTCCTCCCGTCTGGCCACTGGCCAGGGCTTTCAAGTTCAAAACCTGATTACATCTCATGCCTGCTACTGCCATGTAGTTCTGTGACCCAGAGCGCTGACCCTGTGTCACTGAAGATTCCATGAATGGGTGCTATCTGTTTCTGACCAGGAAAGAATCCTGATTTTTGGACAACTGAGTTTTAAGATGAGGCTGTTAGTGAGTTGTTAAGCTGTAGTGTTAAGAGTACGGGTGGACGATGAGTGGACAATGAGTGGACGATGACCAGAGGACTGACAACCATTTATGTGCATAAGCTGAGAAAGCCCTCCAGGCATCTCAGGGATGTGGGTCACAGTATTCCTTTCTGTCTTCCTTTTTCATGAAAAAGTGGACCATCTATTTCCAAGGGTGTGATCCTTTAGGGTGAATCACAACCACAGCAAGACAAAAACAAAACAAAATAAAACAACAACCACAAAGAAAAGTGCCCTTATAGAAATATTTGAGGTTGTTGGGAGTCATGGTTTTGCATGAGGGAGACATCCCACGCCCAGCTGCCCACCAGTGGGGATGGGCCTGTCCGAGTTCCGAATCTAATAGATGAGTGTCACCAGAGTGTTCCAACACCCAGGGGAACCAATAGTCAATGTCAGCCCCGATGGACAGTCCAAGCAGGACCTCATGTACCCAGGATTTGTTTGTCCACCAAAGAGGAGATTTGTCACAAACAGGGAATGGTGCTGGGCCTGGATGTCCAGCTCCCAGGCACCTGCAGTGAGGCCCGGTGGCTCTGAAGGTGCTGGCAGGTCAGCTGTGTCAGTGCCCTCAGGGTGACCACACCCTGCTCTCACTCTCTCCAGGAAGCTTTCGCTGTGTAAATTAGCCCTGGTTATCCCTTAACCGCACACATGCCAGGACACTTTGTCACCAGTACAGCGTCCCTTGGGAACCTCTCTCATGTCCCAACAGCACTACCCACACTAACTAAGCCTCCTTAAAGCAGTCACCTGAAGAATTCAATAATGGAATTGGTCTTATGCTTTGCACGTATGCCACCCAAACGTTACGACAAACTTTCATCTTCAGTAGTTACGTTCAGCCTGACTTAGGCCCACAGTCTTCCCAGTGTGGCTGTAAGACTCACAGTTCCAGTTTTGAGAAGCATCTGGGACTCCGTGGAGACAGCACGTGGCAGCCTCATCAGGGCAGCCTGCCTTGGGTGTGAAGCTTCCTCTCCTTCCCCTTTGA